CTTGTACCAATTATCTGGACATACCTTTAACAATCTTTGGACCATGATGTTATTATCCACTTTTAAAGTCAATACTTTTTAATTATCTTTTAATGTTAGCATTTTTTAATATAGTGTAAAAACAAATGTATATTGCTGGTCTTTGACCGTAATAAAGATCTTACTTACTTATTGGATGCTTAATGTTTTTTTCCAGACATTATGTTTTTAAAGAACTTAACTGTTTAATTTGTTAACCATTGACTGTAATAAGGACTATCTATCATTGGTAAATAGGGGTAGAACAATTAAATTATAATAGCAAAGAGGTAGCTTGGAGATGACTGGAGGTGAAAAAGTTTTTTTTCTTGTTTCTCCCCTTTCTTTTTAAAATACTCTCCCCCTTTAAAACTTTTTTCACCGAGGAAATATAGAAACTGCAATCCACAAATTGTGGCTCATTATCCTGTTTTGAGTTAAAGAGGCCATGCACAAAGGCAGAAGGTGGGAAAAATATTACTTTGCCAAAGTCGGTTTGCAAATGGCTGCTTCATGTGGCCCAGTAAGAACAGCCCACAATTCTGAGTTCTGCAGATCTCCATAAGATAAGCAAGGCATTGTATGGGGTGGAGATAGCTGTGGGGACCCCAAGGAAAAGATGTAGAGTATGTGAGTATCTCAGCAGGTGAGGGAGACCCTGAGAGGCCCAAGGCAGGCATCCTTGAGGCACTCCATTCATATTTAATGACCCCCACATTCACCCCTACTTTCATTTACTGTATGCATTGGAGTGATCCAAGATGAAGACTCTTCCACTTAATGAGTTTCAATTAACATCCTTCCGTCTTATGATCAAAATAGGTGGGTTCCACTACTGTTGTAAGTTGAGGATTACATGCAGCTACCAGCGTCAAGAAAATATCGGGAATCACACTGAAATCCTGATTTTCAGTGATAGAACCAAAGAATTTTTAAAAAAAATTAAAGAAGATATAGAACAGATGTGTCCAACTTGTGGTCCACGGGCTACATCTATGTGGTCTTGAACTAGTAATGCATCCAGGATAATAAAAATATCTATATAAAAAAACCATCTCAAGACAATTCATGGATTAGACAACTATGATGTAGAGGATGAAAGTGGAAAACAAACTGCCAAAGACCAAGAAACTAAATAAAGGAATCCAAATGTTAAAACAAATGGTGCAAATTACCAAGAAATTAAAAGAAATCAAACCAAGAAAGTTAAAGATATCAGGAACGAACATCACCCAAAATTTCAAAGATTTGTTAGAAAAAGTAAGAAACAATATTACAACAATATTTGTAAAGACACTGGATTCAGAATGGGAAAAACAAAATTTTCCAAAATATGTCCTAATTTAGAAGGTGATTTCAAGCTTAAATAGGTATGCTAAAATTACTGGTTCTAAAAAGATCAAAGAAGCAAATAGTGTATTGAAATTTAGCATAGTGGTGATTTCAACATTCTTAACAGATATTACTTACTTACAAGACCGTGTAATATTAAGATGAAGTTAGACTAATACTTAATTCATTACCAAATCAGAAGATTACAGAGATTAATGGAATATCTATAGAATTATGTCAAACAACAGAAGAATATATAGCAGTTCTAATTAAACTATGCCTGAAAAACTGGGCAACAATTCAGTTAAAGTTCAACTTCAGTTGAAAAAGGTTTATATACCAACACCAAAGAAAGGAGACTTAATGGAGTATACAAATTATTGTATAATATACTTATTTTCACATGCCAGCAAAATAAAGCTTAAGATCATCCAAGACAGACTAAAACCATGCAGGGAGAGGAAATGTTAGATTGAGCTGGTTTTAGTGTAGCTATGGAACACCGACATTATTGCTGATGTATGCAAACTAAAGAACAACAAGAAATCACTAATCAGTAATCAGTTCTCAGTAATTGCTTTTTGTTGTGTCAAGCTATCAAGCTGTGGAGCATCCTAAGAAAAATGACAATTCCAGGAAATCTGGAATGAGACATCTATATACAAACCAGGAAGTCACAATCTGGAAAAAAATATGGTGAAACAGACTTATTCTCACTGCTAGCAAAGCAGTGGGATGAGCTTATGTACTTTTTACTATTTTTGGAATATGAATGGTGTGGGGGGGCATGGATGGATTGAAAAATGGTTTTAAAATTGGAGGAGAAAATAACAATAATCTCCATTATTCTGATTTCATTACTTTGATAGCAAAAATAATCTACAAAATATAATAATGAACATCAAGCAACATAATGAAAAGATGGGATTAAAATTAATGAAGGGCAACAACAACAGGTATAACACCCAGCCTTATTTTTAACAAGGAATATATTGAAGCAGTGGAAAGCTTCTGCCTTTTAGGATCAATTGTTTACAGTAAAGTAACCAAACAACAAGAAATACAAGTATTATCTGTCTGTCTGTCATATTTAGGGACTGCCAGTCTCCATCAGAGTAGACCTCACTTGCTGACTGTTTATGGAACTATGGGAACTATGTGTAAAGTAAATTATATATTGTATATTATTTTGATAATAAACAATATGTTCTTGTATATTAATTTTAATAATATGTAAGAGAAAACTACTTCATTTTATATCACTGTGTGGGCTCTGTGGTGGATGGCTTTTTTAAGACTGATGGATGAGCTTTCTCTTACATTAGTTATCAAGTAGCCATTTTAATTCTGTTGATTTAAATTAAGAAAGATATATGTGCCTATCAGTTTTGGAATTAACTCTACATAATGTCACTAGTATTGTAACTTTGGACATACATTTAATATTTCCATGTTTTTATTTACATTTAATCAATCTGGTGTTCTGCTATGTTGGGTCTGCATTATTTTCTATGCTTATAATAAAATTTAATAAAACTTCTAGTGTGGTATATGATATTAGGAAAATAGAAATTCCTAAGTGCACAGCAATCACAAACCATAGAAGGTATCAAGACTTCTCACTACATATTAAAGTAATAGTGACCAAAAGGTGTGTATGACATTGTTTTACTAGCCATAGATTTGTATTCCTCTTCTGTAATGTTCCTTAATTAGAAGTGATGGGAGAACTACTGTTTTAGAGAAAAGACATGGTGTAGTTGAAATAAGAGAACTCCAAAGCAGTCTACTCTGATGAAGACAGCAGGATGCTAATGATTGAATTAGAGACAAGAGAAAAACCAATATTATTAATAGTCATATATGCACCAAATCAGAGACAAGAGGAATTCTATAAGAAATTACACAACAAAATAAATGCGTTAGAATTGGGGATTATAATGCTATAGTGGATAAAAAATGGAAGAAAAAAGAAAAATAAAACAAAAAAAATACNACTTTACACACAGTTGTACTTATTGCTATTTGTTTGCTTCCTGGACATTCAGTTTATACTTTTTTTTCTTACAGACATTACATAGCAATTCCCACCAGCAATTCCCACCATAAAATAATTAAGGCATATTTTCGGTCATGATTTATTAGAAATGCTATAATGGTACAATTTACGTATCATGCCAAACTCAAAAGAAGCAAGTCATAATACAACTTAGTACAGGTAGTCCTTGACTTTTGAGCCCAAAATTTCAATTTGTTAAGTGAATTTTGCCCATTTTAAGACCTTGATTGCCACAATTGTTAAATGAATCAATGCAGTTATTAAAATTAGTCACATGGTTGTTAAGTGAACCTGGCTCCTCCACTGACTTTGCTTGTCAGAAGATCACAAAAGCTGCCCATATGACCCGGGACACTGCAACTGGCATAAACATGAGTTAGTTGCCAAGAATTTGAAATGATCATAAAAATTTTTTTTAGTGCCGTTGCAATTTTGAATGGTCTTTAAATGAAGTTAGTCAAGGACTACATGTGTTACAGAAGTTTTTTTCCCATGTGTGCCTAGCTATTTGTAAATTTAAATTGTTAAAGACAATGAACAATTTCCTACAGTTACTGTATAACAAAAACAGGTATCTGAGGTTCAAAATACTTTCTGAATCAGTTTCAAAGTACATACAGCCGTGTGAAATGCAAATCAGCATACCAAAACATGAACAAGCAAACAAAAATGGCCACTGAGTCTCCTTCCAAAAGATGAGGTTTAGGTACTGAAATCTACCATTTCAAAAATGGACTGAATTGAAAGTAGATGGAGATTTAAATATAATGTCCGTGGTCTTTCTTTCAGAAGATATGAAATAATCTATCCAACTTTAAAAAAAACTAATTTAAGGTCAAAATCAATAAAATAATGAAGTCCTATTTGTAATTTTTGTGTCCCTCATTCGCATATAAAAGCAGATGAAGATGATAATGTGTAAAGGCAAAGAAATATTTCAGTTGAACTTGTTTCCTGGTAAGGACTTGCATATAGCCACACAATTTTCATGACAACAATGAAGACGTTCTTTGCCACTGTCTTTTTAAATGTTCAGCCTAGCCTATAGCCAGTGGTGACAATATATGCATATAAAAAGGGTGAAGTTTTGATCATAATGCTGTGTCTACCATGTTGGAGATTCAGACCCCTTAAAAACACCTTGGATGCTCCTGGTGATTTCCCATTCAAATACTAACAAGTTTCAACTCTGCTTAACTTCCTTGAGATCATCCAAAATCAGCTTACTGTTGCCACCTGTTTTGGCCATCTAATTTTACCTTGAAAAGCGAACCTACTTTTCTTCCTATCATTTATTTTTCATTAGTCTTCATGCAAAATTTTAAGTTCAAAATTAAGGAAGAAGGCTCTGGGATAGTAACGGTCTTCCCTGAATAAACCCAGCGAATCACTTCCAGTTAAATGGCTCAAATAACATTTTATAACTCTGTATAGTAAAAACAATTACTCACTTGTACAAGCCATGGTGAGTGGATCAGATTCCTTTCGGAAATAATTCTCTTCACAAATACAGGATGTTGATGCTTCTTCACGTGTGAAACTGTGTGGAGGGCATTTGGTGCATCCTTGACTTTGGGATGAATTCTTAAAGAAACCCAGCTGGCATGCTGCAAGAGAAGAGTCAATAGTTAGGAGATATTGCTTTCTTGTGAACATTAGCACACATTTCTATAATGAAATCTTCAGGAACAAGCTCTGATTGAAAAGAAAAAGTACATCGAAATACTTTAGTGAGTAATGAAAATGGGCTTCCTATCTATTTTGATAGATTCATTCTTTGTCAATTTTGAAAAGGTAGACTGAATTATAGTTAAAATATACAACTATGTGGAATTATTTGGTAATACTTAGAAAGCAGGATGGATGACTAGATGGATTGATATATTCAAATAAACCTGAATTATGAGAGGAGACAGATTTCATAAGATGTAGTATTCTTAAAATGTTGCAAGGTTTGGATTATTTTTATTTTTGTATTTCATTTTATTTTTTATTTTATTTTTGGAGAGTGGCATTATATGAAATTACACTTAATCCCCCCCCCATCCCCATATCCAGTTCAACCCCGTGGAGTTTCTTTTATAAGTAATAGCAGATCTCCCTTTAGACTCTGCTCAATTTCTATTAGAAATGAGGCGGATTTCTTTATTTGCAATAAATCCTGGGTTCCCCCCCTTTTTTTAAAGGAAGGAAAATGACAGATCTTCTCCCCCCCTCCCGCCGCCCCCCTCGCCAAAAGGAGACCAGAGAAAAGCAACCAGATCGAAAGGAAAGGAGATATGATCATGTTTGGAAGAGCCTCCTCCTTGCCGCGCTGCCGCCGCTGGAAAGCCCCCCCCCATCTGAGGCCGCCGGACAGCTGTTGCAAAAATGTCACGGCGGCGCGCACACGGGCAGGAGGGGAGGGAGCCTCGCCCCTCATCGGGCGCTGCGAACGAGCCGAGCAGAGCAAGGGAAACCACTGCCCTCTAAAGGCCACATCGGGAACGACACTTCAGAGAAATAAAAACTTTTTTTTAACGGTGTCCTTTTTAAAATTGATGATTCGGCGTCTTTTTTTCTTTTGGAAAATCGGGACTTTTTGAACACTCCGCGGGACATGGGACAAATTTTGGAAAATCGTGACTGTCCCGCCAAAAGCGGGACATCTGATCACCTTAGCCTAGAGGATCTGCAAACAGACATTTCATATCTGATTGCTTCCTTAAAGTATGTTGAAAGCCAGATATGTCCAATTGTCTTCACAATTTAGTATCTCTATAGTCAAGCTACTTCAGATTTCAGTCTTCAAACCATCAGGAGGAGTGGAAAGAGAAAATGAGCATTGACTTATTTTCAGAGAACAAGCAAATAACACCAGAAAAGAGGTGTGGATGATGGATTTTAAAACAGAATTCAATCCAATCCATTTTCTGCTTGAACTAAGCAAATATAATGTGAACTAGCAAACATGGCCCAGTTTGGATAAATGTTGGGCCTATGAATTTTGGATGACATACAATTATATATTGCTACATGTCCTCTAAAAACAGTAGCAATATATATTGAAACCACCACCAACAGTATAAACAACAGTAAATAAGTACCACTATTTTAAGGCGGTGGGGGAGGCACCCACAGAGACAGAAATTATTCTTGTAGGAACTTGTTTGGACACTGATACTTTCTGAGACCCAAAAGTGGATATAAATTAAAAGTTTATATAGCCTGAAAGTGCATTCATAATTGAATTTCTATTTTTGCACTGTTCATGAATCACCCAAGCTTTATGGTTCTTGGCATGAAATGCAGGATTATTTACCCCAAAGCTATCTCTAAACATTGACTTATACAGAGAGCTGTTTTATATTACATTTCAATATCCAAAGGGATGGAGGTGGCAGGCAGGAGAATCCTTATCATACTTCATATATGAAAGCTATAACTAAATCCACTTGTATCCAGAATAAAAGCAATACATAAACTTCTATTGCAGCTTCTCTACAAAGAACAGGCTCTTTATCTTAAATTTATTGAGTTAAAATACGTAAAATTATTATAACATAAAATATATGATATGGTGCTATTTTATGCAAACTAACAATTCAGGATTCTTTTATAAATTTTGATAAAAAGTGCAATTTGATGATGACATTGGCAGCATGATATGCATGATATCCAATTAATTTCCAAAGGGAAGAGAAACAAAAGTTAACCTCTAAACATTTCAAAGTTTGAAAATAAATAACTTAAAATGCATTAGTAACTTGGTTGTTCAGTAAGTTAGTAATCTGGTTTTTAAGCGAATCTTGCTTCTCCATTGACTTTGCTTGTCAGAAGGCTGCAAAAAATGATCACATGACCCTGAGATACTACAAGAGTCATAGGTATGAGCCAGTTGCCAAGTATCTGAATTTTGATCATGTAAGGAGATGCTGCAAAGATTGTAACTGTGAAAAATGGTAATAAGTAACATTTTTTTCAGTGATTTTGTAACTATGAATGGTCACTAAATGAACTGTTGTAAGTTGAGGATTACCTGTACTTCAAATGATCTTGATTCTATCTCTCTGTTAATGCAGCCTAGAAGTGTATTGGCTTTTTGGCAGCTACAGCACACTGCTGGTTCATATTTGAGTGATTGTCCACTAGCACTCCAAGATTCCTCCCACAGTTATTGCTATTGAGTGATGTTCCACTTCTTCTGTGCCTGTATATTTGGTTTTTCTTGCCTAAGTATAAAACCTTACTTTTCTAGGTTGAAATTTATTTTGTTAGGTAAGGCCCAGTGTTCAAGTCTGTCAGGATCCTTGACAGATGTGCTAGAGGCCTCCGTGCTGGAGTGAACTCACTGTAACACTCGTCTCCTGAACACTGCTTCAGCGGATGCGAACTTGTCTAATTTATAATTTCGTACGAAGACAGAGGCCGAGGCCCAAGTAGCTGCCCTGCAGATCTCCTCAATTGAAGCTTGCATCCCCTAGGCTATGGTGGTAGCTGCACTCCATGTGGAATGAGCTGTTATTTGACATGGCAATGGCTTGGCCCGGTGTTCATAGGGTAGGGTGATACAACCTCTGAGCCAGCGATTGATGGTTGAAGAGATGACTTTGCGACACATCGAGGCTGGCTGGAAGGAGATGAAGAGTGCTTCGGACCTCCTAAAAGAGGCTGTCATCTTAATGTATCTTTTCAGATCCCTTCGGTCATCCAGAGTATGCCAACATCGTTCCCTGGGATGTTATGGCTTCAGGCAAAAGTCTGGCAATATGACCTCCTGGGCCTGATGGAACCAGGAGTTGATTTTTGGGATAGATGAAGGATCTAGTTGGAGGATGACCCTGTCATGGTGAATGATGCATAAGTCCTCCCTGACTAATAGGGCCGTTAGCTCCGAGATCCGCCTAGCCGACATAACTAGACTGTTTTAAACATTAGATGTCTGAGACTAGAGGTGTGGATTGGTTTGAACAGAGTGCAGGTAAGGGCTGGGAGTACGGTGGAAAGCTCCCAAGATGGGAAGCAATGGATGAAGGGGGGGGTGGAGATTGGTGGCCTCTTTCGGAAAGCTACACACCTTGGGATGCTGGCTGAGAGAAATGTGAGAGTCCTTGGAAAGGATTGTTGCTAGCGCAACCACCTGGTGTCTGAGAGTGTTGGGTGCCAACCCCTTGTCGAGGCCTTCCTACAAAAAGTCCAGCACCTGCGGTATGGATGTGCAACGGGGTCAATGTGCTTGTTGGAACACCAACGAGAAAAGCTAGACCAGGTGATGCCATAGATTCTGATGGTGGAGTCTCATCTGGAAGCCTGTATGGTCCAGATAACCACATTGGAAAGGTTATCCCATCTCAGGAGGTTCCTCTCAAGTTCCAGGTGGTCAACTGGATCCACTGAGGCTCCAGATGGAAGAAGACCCCCTGATTGAGAGAGACCCAGTCCTGAGGAATTCTCCAGGGCTTGGCAATGGAAAGGCTGACGANGAAATCGGAACCGCAGATAGGGAAAGAAAGATCCTTGTAGTACAAAACCCACCTTTGCATGGTTGTAAGAACATAGGTAAAACAAAACAAAAAAGCACAGCGTCCCTCCGCCCTCTGAATGGGACTCAACGTGACTCCGATTCGAATAGAAGGACACGGAGCCGGGCGGGAGATAAGCACCTTCATTTGCATTCTCTGCAACCATGATGCTTTGTGAGGAACATTCCCCGGGCTCCCCGTGAATTTTTGCAGATTTTTCCTTTTGTGCTTAAAAAAAAGAACCCGACTTCTTTAAAACGACACAGAATGAGCTGTCAGCCTGACAAAATGCAACCCCTTCCTTCGTCCTCCTCCTCCTCCGTCACTAACAGCTGGGGGCTCAGAAATTGGAGCAAAAAGCCAGTCCTCCATCTCTTCCCTCTTCCTGGATTCACTCCGAAGTTTTAAATCCCCCTTCTGTGCATAAACACTCCTTCAGCCTCCCTCCCTCTGTTTGTCTCTCACTCTCTGTGTGGCTCTTTGCCTCTATCTCCCTCCCTCCATCTGTCTCTCTCTCTGTCATTCTCTCTGTGTGTCTGTCTTTCTCTGTCTCTCTCTCTCTGTCTCTCCTCCCTCCCTGTTTGTGCGTGTGTGTGTGTGGATCCCTGCCCCCGCAGATGGACTCTGGACTAGCAGAGCCTCCTCTTCCTCCTTTTTAACCAGGCGATCTTTGGCTGCTGCACAATCCCAAGGGCACGCGCTGCCTGGTTTGCTGAATCTGGCGCGGCTTCAGAGAAAGAAGGCATGCAAGAAAGCCCCCCCATCCCCGCTGCCTGAACGTTTGAATGAAGGAGGCTGCAGGCTCCTTTGTCCTCAGCTATGCGATTTTTCTTTCATTCTCTGCTGCCCGAATGAGTGAATGAGGCAGGGGGAGAATGAAAGGAGATTGCGTCCCTTCTGTCTCCCCCCCGTTGCTCAGAAAAGCAACTCCGGGAAGGTCCTTTGGTG